AATCCTGAAAGTTTCACCCAAAAACCCCCAAAATTTGGCCCAAAAAATCCAACGTGACCCCAAAACTGCCCGATTTTCCCTCAAAAAATCCCAAAAACCCCAAAATTTGACCCCAAAAATGCCAAAATTTAATCCCAGACCCCAAATTTCCCCTCAGGACTTCAAAACTTGACCAAAACCCGAACAATTTTAACCCCCAAAACCCCAAAATTTGACCCCAAAAGCCCCCAAATTTAACCAAAACCCCCAGAATTTGTCCCAAAAATTCCAACGTGACCCCAAAACCGCCAGATTTTCCCTCAAATTTCCACAAAAAACAAAAAAAACCCCAAATTTGGACCCCAAAATCCCGAATTTTGAACTCAGAACCCCAAATTTAACCAAAACCCCCAAATTTGTCCCCAAAACCCCCGAAATTTAACCAAAACCCCCAAATTTTGACCTGACCCAAAAATTCCAGGTTTTTACCCCAGAATCCCAAATTTGACCCAAAACCCCAAAATTTAACCCCAAAAATGCCCAAATTTAACCCCAGACCCCAAATTCCCCCTCAGAGCCTCTCAAAATCCGCCCAATTTTAACCCCCAAACCCCCAAATTTTGACCCCAAAACCCCCCAAATTTAACCAAAACCCCCAAAATTTGACCCAGAAATTCCAAAGCGACCCCAAAACCGCCGGATTTTCCCTCAAATTTCCACAGAAAAACCCAAAAACACCCCAAAATTTCCCCTTTAAATCCTCACCTGCTCTCCCGCGCTCGCCACTCCCCTCACGGCCGGGCCCAATCCGGGGGCGCCTCCGCAGCTCCACAGGGGACCCCGAAACCTCTTCCCAAAAAAAAAAAAAAACCGGGATACACGATGACGTCAAAACCGTTTCTGACGTCACAACATTCCCCAAAAAAGTATTACCGCTCCCGGTTTACCTGAATTGTGAGGGCGCGGAGCAGCGGCCGCAGCCGCGGGGTCGCCGCCGCCATCATGGCGGCCTGAGGGGGGTGGTGAGGGGGAAGATGGGCGGGGCTTAGGCGGCCCTGAGGGGGCGTTGCCCGCCAAAAGCGACGCATCTGATTGGTCGGTTTGGAAAGGCGGGAAACGCCATTTTGCTGAAGGGCTGCCCTTAGAAGGGCGTGGCCAAAGAGGAGAGAGGCGGGAAAAGAACCAGCCAATGGGAGCTCGGATTGAGATAGCGCATGCGCACTATGGAGGAAAGAGGGCGGACCCCATCTTAAGTGAGGGCGGGAGTGAGGGAGTGACGTCACAGAGCGGGAAGCCACGCCCAGTTTCTCCCCCCCCCCTCAGGACGCGCCGCCATTTTGGATCCGCCGCCGCTCCCTGAGGTAAAAACGGGGACGGGGGGGGGGGCGACCCCGCCTCAAATTTGTGAGGGCTGTAAAAACTCCAAAATCCTCTAAAACACCCCAAAAATCCTCCCGAACTTGCGGGGGGGTGGGGGGTGGGGGTGAAGGAGCGTCTCACCCTCGAACTCACCTAAAGAACATCCCCACCCCCCCTCAAAAATCTCATTAATTTGGGCCTCCCCAGGTCCATAAAACAGCTCCGGATCCTCCTAAAAAAGCCCCAAAACTTCTCGAGAAACTTCACAAATTTTGCGGTTAACGTTCTAAATTTTGGGGGGGTAAAGAGGTTTTAAGACTCCCCCAAGCATCGCCGAAATCGCCTCAAGTTTTGGGGGGATTCAGGGTCTTCAGAGCGTCGAAATATCCTTTAAATTTGGTCCCAAAATCCCTTCAAATTTGGGGTTTTTAAAAAGTCCCAAAGTCTGCAAACAACTTTAAAATTAGGGGTTGAAAGGGGCTTAAAAAAACCAAACTGAAATCAAACAAATTCGGTTGAAATCGCCCCAAAAAATCTTCCTAAATCGCTCTCAATCCGATTTTGGGGGAGCCTCAGACTTTCAGAGCCTTCCTAAAATCCTTAAAATTCTCTGTGAAGTCACAAAATCTCCCCAAGTTTTGTTTTTTTTCTCCTCCTCAGGTGATGCCAGACCCACCCAAAGCCCCCCCAGATTCGGGGTCTCTTCAGGTGAGCTCTCCTCAAACCCCAAAATCCCCCAAATTTCCCCCAAAAAAACTTCAAATCCTCCCTCCTAAAAATCTTTGAAGTCTCCCCGACCCCCAAATCCCCCCAAATTCCCCCAAATTTCTCCCTCAAAGTCCACCCAAATTCCCTAAATTCCTCCAAATTTCCCCAAATTCACCCTAAAATCCAAGAATTTATCCCAATTTTCCCAAATTTCTCCCTCAAATTGCCCCAAATTCCCCCAAGTTCACCCTTAATTTCCCCTAAAATCCCCAAATTTCTCCCAAATTTCTCCCTCAAATTCCCTAAATTCCCCCGAATTTCCCCAAAATCACCTTAAACTCCCCTAAAATCCCCAAATTTATCCCAAATCCCCCAAATTTCTCCCTCAAATCCCCCAAAATCCACCCAGAAATTCCCCCAAATCCCGATTTTTCGCACTTCCCAAAAGCTGGGACACCCCAAACCCTCCAAAATTGGGAGAATTCCCTCAAAATCCCTAAAAATCGCTCCCAAAATCCCAAATTCCTGAGAGCTCCCGGAGAAATTCCCAAAAACTCCGATAAAATTCCCCTCAAAATCGACCCAAAAATCCCTGGAATTGATCCCAAATCGACCAAAATTCCTAAAATCCCCCAAAATTCCCATAAAATCCCCCAAAAATCCATCTAAAAAATCCCTAAAATCCCCCCCAAACCCCCTGAAATTCCCGCTATTTCCCCAAAACTCCCCATTTTTCCCAAAACTCCCCAAAATTCTTCAATTTTCTCCCTTCAAATCCCCCAAAAATCCCCGTAAAATCCCCCAATCTCTTCCCCAAAACCCCCCCAAAATCCCTGAATTTCCCAAAAACTCCCAAACATTCCCCAGATTTTTCCCCCCAAATTTCCCATTTTCCTCAAATTTTCTCCCCTAAAATCCCCCAGATTCCCAGAATTTCCCCCAAATTCCTGGAATTTTCCCAAAAATTCCCAGAGCTTCCCCACAACTCCCATTTTTCCAAACTTCTCTCCCCAAAACCCCCCTAAAACCCCCCGAAACCTCCTTAAATTACCCCTAAAATCCCCAATTTTCCCCCAGATTCCCCCCAAATCCCCGTTTTTTCCCCCAAAATTCCCATTTTTTCCCCCAAAATTCCCAAATTTCCCCCCAAATCCCCCTTTTTCCTCCCGAAATTCCCGGATTTTCCCCCAAAATCCCCATTTTCCCCCAACTTTTCTCCCCAAAACCCCCCTAAAAATCCCCAATTTTCCCCCAGGTTTCCCCCAAAATCCCCGTTTTTTCCCCCAAAATCCCCGTTTTTCCCCCAAAATTCCCAAATTTCCCCCAAAATTCCCAGATTTTCCTAAAAAAAATTCCCATTTCTCTCTCTCCCCCCCCCCAGGAGCTGCGGAAGGCTCTGGAAGGTTCCCTGAGGCTGCGGCCGGCGCTGGCCGAGCCCCCGGAGCTGCTCCCGCTGCTGCGGCTGCCGCTGCCCCCCCAGGGGAAACTCGCCGTCGTCCCGGGGACACAAATCCTCAGGGAAAACCTGGCCTGGGTGAGTCGGGAATTCCGGGGGGTTTGGGGGGTTTTGGGGAATTTTTTGGGATTTTTTGGGATTTTTTGGGATTTTTTGGGGATTTTTTGGGGATTTTTTTGGATTTTTTTGGGTTTTTTTTGTGAATTTTTCCGGGATTTTTCCGGAATTTTTCAGATTTTTTCCAGGATTTTTCCCAAATTTTTTGTGAATTTTTCCCGAATTTTTTTGTGATTTTTTTTGAGAATTTTTCCGGGATTTTTTGTGAATTTTTTGTGATTTTTTTCTGAAGTTTTTGTGAATTTCCCAAATTTTTCCGGGATGTTTCCAGGATTTTTTCAGGATTTCCCTGGGATTTTCCCGGCATTTTCCCTGGATTTTTCCAGGATTTTCCCGGGATTTTTTGTGAATTTTCCCGGAATTTTCCTGGGATTTTCCCGGGACTTTCCCGGCATTTTCCCGGGATTTCTCCAGCATTTTCCCGGCATTTTCCCGGGATTTTTTGTGAATTTTTTGTGAATTTTTTGTGAATTTCTCCCGATTTTTTTCGGAATTTTTTGTGAATTTTTTGTGAATTTTTTGTGAATTTTTTGTGAATTTTTTGTGAATTTCTCCCGATTTTTTTTCGGAATTTTCCCGGGATTCTCTGTGAATTCTCCCGGGATTTTTTGTGAATTCTCCCGGGACTTTTCCGGCACTTTCCCGGGATTCTCCCGGCGCTCTCCCGCTGTCCCGCAGGATCCCCGGGGCCCCCCGCGGGGGCTGCCGCGTCTGCGGCGCGCGCTGCACGTCCTGGAGAAATACGGCCGCAACCTGCTCGGCCCCCGGCCCCCGCCCCACTGGAGGGACCTGCGCTTCGGCAACCCCGTCTACAGATCCGCCCTGGCCCACATCCAGGTGCCAATTCCCAACATTCCCAACATTCCCGGGAAAAATCCCGCTTTTCCCGGAAAAAATCCCGCTTTTTTTGGCGAAAAAAC